AACTATGTGTCTCTATATAAATATACAAATTTTTCACACAAAAAGTATTACTGAGCTCTGTAACTCTAATGCATTCTATTAATTACCAGTAAACCTTCAGTCTTGGGGAGCACCTTTTTAAAACCAGATTCATCCCAAAGACATAATTCTGTTTTGTTTTTAAATAAAAGTATGATGTTTTATATGTTTAAAATGATGAGAAAGTGATAATCAGGGATGTTACTCTGAGATTTATGATGACTTTTAATAAATGTCATTAATCCAAGGGCCCTTGAAGTAGACTCCAGTATCCTATTTTTTCATCTTTATGCAAAATAAATGGATAATTTTAGAGAAGAAAAAAAAATACCAAGTAAGAGTATTACCATATGATTATTAACCACATGTAAATGTTTTAAGAAAAAGCAGTGTTCTGGTAACAGTTTTAGCAGCCAATCTTGTACGCTTGTTTTTAGTATATAATTTGGCCGTAGAAATTCTAATGTATTGAATAGTCTCAAGAGTAATACAGTGTCAATTTAGTAATTATTTTAAATGTTGTGGGTCATTTCTTCTAGGCTTCCCAAATTTTAATTTATATTTCGCTTTTTCAAAAATTAAAATTTTAAACCAATTAGAAATGTCTTAATTTTTTCTTTGATACAAAAAGGATCTAAAGTTACATAGTTTTTGGCAACTTTTAAAAGTCCTTTTGAAGACCATTTATGTGGACAACAAATAGCTCAAGATCGTATGTTTTCTACAGGGAAATACACAAATGTATAGCATTTGTAAATCTTACTTTTTTTTTTTCTTTTGGTAAATCTTATTCTTGATATGACCTTTGGTAATATAAAACACAAATTGCATAATCAATAGAGAAAACTCATTTTTCTCTTTAGAATAACAAAAATTTTAATGGATCTGGATGGTCCAAGCTGGCGGGAGAAGTTGTCACCCATTCCTTCTGTGCCCACTTCGGTGCAATTGCGAGCTTGGCGACCCACAGCAGAGATGCCTCCAGACCAAGTGGGCGATTCCAGCAGCCATCACCAACCAGGCACCACAGGTAGGGGAAACCTACACCCCTTTCTTCTGAGGGTTATTTCGAGCCTTGTATATTTTCACAGTAAAGCAGAAGAATAAGCATAAACTCAGGCATTAGACCTGGTATTACGTTAAGACCCTGTTCTCCCCCTTTCTAACTTCAGAGTCTTAGAAGTTGCTTCACACCTCCAGCATCCTAGTGTATGTGAAAAGGGGGTAAAATGAATAAATGTCCTGTGGAGTTGTTCTCAGGAATAAATGGAGATATGCATATAAAATATTTAGCACATGCTGACTGTATAAGGTTGTAATAACCTCAGTAGAGGTTAAGTCAGTGTCGTTATTAAGAAAAAAAGTAAGCATATAGTCTTCTACTATACCATGTATTGACAAGGCTAACGTAATAAGAGTGATGTATTCGAAATAAATAAAACCCTACAACATAACTATCTAGCAGGCACTTCCTTCTGCCTTATATCATAGTAGTTACCATATCTGCATTGCTGTTGTACCTACTTCTGCTTTGTGCAGAGTGTTTAATACATGTGACTTCACTCTTTCTGGTTTAAAGCCAGTTGAGCTCCCATTTCTCCTACCTTCTTAGGAACTGCATGTCTGTTCCTGTGCTGAGCTTCACCTTGTAGACACCCTGAAGTTCCTGAGTCATAATGTCCTAATGGCTTGTATTAGACCCTCCATTGCCTAGAAAGAAGATGCAGGGAAAATCCGCCAAGGCTTTTAGATGATCTAGCAGTCCTAGGAAAGTCATAGAACTCTCTAGTTTCCTCAAGCCCATTATTAACGGAGCCCGGCCAAAAGTGTTTGCTCAGTGAAGGGAAGTTTGTTATGAACAAAGTGCATCTACTGACCATGCCAGAGATTTGTGAGAGCAAATCCTAAGCAGAGGTGTAATCAGCTGTTCCTATTCACCGTGTACTCATTGTTAGTGAGGGTAGATGCCAAAGATTTACCAACATCGGGGGAAGAAAAGTTTGAGGAAAGTTTTTCAGCAGATTGAGGGGAAAATATCCTCTGTAACATTATTTTCGGGCTCATGTATACCAGGATTCCTGAGGAGAGTCATTTGGCCCCCTTGTGTGAGATCTTTTGAAACGTGAAAATTAGGCAGAAATATTCTGTTGTTCAAAATAAAAGATGAAAAATTAACTAATATGTCATACTGTTTGTGCAAAGGGACAAATAAGATTATTATTTTACATTCAGGTTTATACTATATAAATTCACTGCATCAAGATTTTTAGATCATATTTGGGTCAATTTAAAGGTATATTTTAATTTTTAAGTTAAGGATTTTTATTTTCAATTGAATTACTCCATAGGGCAAAGTTACTACATAGATTTAAAACTTTAAATTTTAATACTTGATGTGTGTTAGAAACCTTTGGTTCTAAGTAACAGAAAATCTGTTGACCTAAATTGTAAGGAATGGTTTTGGCTCATGTAACTGGGAGGGCACGGGTAGATCTCTGAAATCGTGCATGGCTTATCAGGGCCCAGGCTCTGGCCAGGAACAGTAGAACCATAGCAGTTTTAGGCTTCGTGTCTGCACATATCAGTCCAAATGGTGAGAGACTCCATTGCTTTTGGCAGTATTAATTTAAGAATCAGGAAATATGTTGCCCCAGAGCTGTAGCTTTTTTATCCTGTTGTTCTATTGGCTTGAATTCTGTGGACACTTTTTCTAATGGGTCATGTGACATTCCTGAGCCAATCCCTATGATCTAGAAATGCCATGCCCAGATTGGCTTACGATGTCTGTTCCTGTTCCTCTCGACACAAAGGCCTAATAGGAGGCGGGGTGATAGCTGTGAGGTGCCCCTGGGAAGGAGAAAATGGATCCTGAGCACGAAGACAGCCATGACCACTGCAAGATAATGGGTAATGATAATAGTTGGGACTCTGATCGCGGATACCAGGAAACTTAACCCTAATGGCTTAAGCAAAAAAGGTTGTGTATTGGCAGGAGCCAATTGTGGAAAAGTCTACAAGGAGCGTAGCTGCAGGGATGGTTGGATTTAGGACTCAGAATTCTTCCTTAGCTCTCTAGTCGGCCTTTCTTTTGCTGTGTTGGCCCCGTTCTCAGACAGACTGTCCCTTTGTCTCACAGGATGGCAACATAGCTCCTCCTTTCATCCTCATTCCACGGGAAAGAGCACGAATGACCCTCACTGCCACAAAAATCCTAGTGTAGCTTATTGGATCTCATAGATCCACCCCTGACCAGTTAGATTATTTTGGCCAAGGAAACGTAATGTGCTGATTGATAAAGCAAAGATTGCCCCAAAAGGTAGGGCTAGAGTGGGGTTCGCTTTAAACCACAGAAGTAGAGAGTAAAAGAGTTGTGATTTTCCAAGGAAAGTTGGGGTACTGGACAAATGTCTACTTCAGGCTTTAACAGGTTTGTTTATTTTTCATGAAATAATTATTTACCCAAACACTAAATATTTGTATCTCCAGCAGAGAAAAGAAGGCATGCGAATATGGATAAAATGATGGAATTACTTGTGTTTATTTTCTAATTTGAAAAAAGTGTCATAATTTTATAATTATTTTTACTTACAGCCAACTTATCTTTTTAATTTATATACAAAACTTTGTTCCATTTAGACTTTAGCTCTGGATGGTACGGGGGGCGGGTCAAGTTAATTTACAATAGATGATTTACTTACAGATGTACTTAAGATTTTGTAGAGGTACTTATATGAAAACTTCCTCCTTTTTTATTTTTTGGGTTCCATAGATGAAAAAATGTTTAAAACCTTTAAAGAAGAAGGAAATCAGTGTGTAAAGGACAAAAACTATAAAGATGCCCTTAGTAAATACAGTGAATGTTTAAAGATTAACAATAAGGAATGTGCCATTTATACAAACAGGCAAGTTCTTTGTAACTTTATATACTTATGTTAATATTTTTTATTTAAAAAATGTAGAAAATTGTCTTATGTGAGTTTTTCAAAGAGGTGGGGCCATAGGAGTTCTGGAGAGATTGAAACACGAGGTGTGGTGAGCTTGGAGGTCTGGTTCATCAGCATTACGCCTTTGTGCCTGATCATTCCTGGCTGGCTGGCCTTGCTGCAGCTGGCCTGCCTGAGCATCATCCTCCACAGCGGGAATAGGAATCCCTTCCCTTTCAAACTAGTGTCTTACGTGCCCGTTTTCTCCTCAAGTGCTAAGGGAAGGGCCAGCATCTGAGTATGCAGTAAGAATAGGCAGATAGATTGTTCTAGGATGCTGCTCAGGTGCCATCTTTACCACATTGTGCTAAAAGATAATTAGAATATGGTGATTTGGGGAATTTTAGTGAGTACGTAGAGTCCAGGGTGATAAGAAATAAATGAGGTATGGTTCCTAAAGAGTAGGGACTCACAGCATGAATTTTTCTAGCTATTTGAGACAAATTCTTTTTAACTTCTCACTGCCTTGTTTGGGTACGTTTTCCTCTATTGCCAACGTTTTTGCCAAAAACGTGTCACTAAATTTAAAAGGCCTTTTTCTGCCCTCCTCCTGTTCAGCCTCTGCAGTGTTGGGCATTAATGCCACTTGGTTTTCCCTGGAGCCCTCCCTCTCCCCTTGGCCGCAGTGCTGACAGCTCTCCTGCCCAGCTGTCATCTTTCCCCTCTACAGGCTTTTCTGTCCCTGGTATGCTTGGGGTTCTAAAGGTGTAGATCCCTTTTTCGCTCTCCATGCTTTCTGGCCATCTTTTCCTCTACTCAGCTCCATTTGCCACCTTCCATTTATGGCCCCCAGATCTCTGTCTCTGAGCTTTGGTCCTGAGCACTTCCTTCCCTTCTGCACTCATGATGCGTTACCATCCCTGACGGAGGCCTCCCTCCCTCTTCCAGTCTGGCAGAAGCTCGGATGTCTTTAGGTTCTGAATTTTTCTTCAGCGTGAGCCTTTTCTCCACCCTCACCACCATTCCCTCCTCTGGGCAACCGCTATCTCCTGTCCGTCTGCAACACCCTTTCTGGTGTGCCTGCACCGTCCTGTTCCCTCTCATCTCATCCTCCAAGTTGCAGCTAGAGTGACCTCTTTAAACATAGTGAACAGGTCAGCCCCTATTTAAAAACCCGTCAATGGACTTCCTTGAAATTCAGGATAAAGCTCAGCCTCCTTGCCATGATTTATAAGGCCCGTCATGATCTGGCCTGCCCACTCTGCTAGCCTCATCCCTGCACTATGGCCATGTGGAGCTCTTCTTACTCCATCAAGAACACCGTGTTCTCTCACCGTAGAACTTTGCACATACTGGGTCCTGACCTCCACTCCCCACTCCCTACATCTTCACTCTCAGCCCAGTGCCTTTACATTGGATAATTCTCACTTAATACTCGGGGCTTCAACTTAAATGTCACTTTCAGGTCTTTCCTAATTGTTCCTCCCCTCTCCTCAGCCCCACCAGATCTGATGAGATTTTCAGCTGTGTCCTCCTAGAGCATCCTGTACAGATTTTATTGTGTTTGTTTGCTTCAGTTGTCTGTCTCTTCTGCTAGATTGCAGCCTCCTTGAGGGCTGGGACTATATTTTATTTGCAGTTGTATCCCTAGTGCCATAATTATATGTATTGCAAGAAAATGCCATAATTGGAGTAAAGTGTTAGTTTTCAATTGAGAAACAGCTGTGGTATGGAAATCGACTTATTGAGCTATTTTGATTTTTATTAGCTGTCTAAATTTATAGATGTATTATCTTTACCTTGCATAATACTGAGTTCCATTACCTCATACCAGAGCTCTCTGTTACTTGAAGCTGTGCCAGTTCGAAGAGGCAAAGCAGGACTGTGATCAGGCACTGCAGATAGACAACGGGAATGTGAAAGCGTGCTATAGACGAGCTCTTGCTCATAAAGGACTCAAGGTGAGGAAATCTTCATTTTAATACGTAAACTTCCGCTCTGAGCAAATGTAGTTTTCATGAACATCAGTCTCAGGATCATGGAATGGGAGCAGGATTTTCCTGGGGTTTAATCCTAGTTCTGTACTAATCAGTCCTGAAACTTTGTAGTAGGCCTCAGATTTTCCCTAATTACAATGTGGAGCTAGATAATGTCTATTATCACTTCCAGCCTAAAAATTATGGTTTATTTCCTAAGGACTGTTGTCAGTTACAGTAGGTCTACTTTAAGGGACAGGGAGATTTTTTACCGAATTACTGAAGGCCACCAGCAATGCCATTGGACTCCTCCAGCAAAGGACTGGGGGTTGTCTGTGGGGGCGGGAGGAAGGCGTCAGAATGGAAGATGGTAGAGACATAGGAGACTGAGATCTCCTGGTGATTTGGGCCTTAAACCAGCTGGTGGTCAGTATGAGACTAACGGATGGCATTCTTCTTTAAGAAAACTGCACCGTATTTTCAAAGAAAGTATTGTATAATTATGCTTTTGTTAATACTGTTTCTTCCACATGGAAAACTTGAATGAATGTTAAAAGTCAATTTGATTAAGGTCTAATACAGTGAAATTCACACAGTGTGCAGGTCTTGGATTTTTTTTTCTCTTTAAAGATTTTTAAATTGAAATATAATCAACACAATATTTTATTAGTTCCAAGTATACAACATAATGATTCAGTATATGTATGTATTGCAGAATGATCACTATATTATGTCTCGTTAACATCTATCACCACACTTACAAAATTTTTCTTTCTTGTGAGAACTTTTAAGATCTATTCTCTTAGCAACTATCAAATATATAATACAGTATTATTAACTATAGTCACCATACTGTACATTATTTTCTCATGATTTATTGTATAACTGGAAGCTTGTACCTGTCGACCACCTTCACCCATACTGCCCATCCCTCATTCCCCGCCTCACCTCTAGCAGCCACCAGTCTGTTCTCTGTATCTGAGTTCAAGTTTTTTTTGTTGTTGTTTTTTTCCCTTAGATTCCACATATAAGTTTAATTGCACATATGGTAATTGTCTTTCTCTGACTTACTTCACTTAGTGTAATGCCCTCAAAGTCCATACATATTGTTGCAAATGGCAGGATTGCCTTCTTTTTTTATGGCTGAATAATATTCCAGCACGTATATACACCACTTTATCCATTCATCCATCAGTGTTTCCATGTCTTGGCTATTATAAATACTGCTGCAGTGAACATGGAAGTGGGGTGTCTTTTCAAGTCAGTGTTTTTGTTTTCTTTGGATAAAGACCCGGAAGTGGAATTGCTAGATCTTAAGGTAGTTCTATTTTTAAATTTTTGAGGAACCTTCGTACTCCTTTCCATAGGGGCTATACTGATTTACATTCCCACCAACAGAGCACAAGGGTTCCCTTCTCTCCACATCTTTACCAACACTTATTTTTTTGCCTTTTTGATAATAGCCGTTCTAACAGGTGTAAAGCAATATCTCATTGTGGTTTTTGATTTGCATTTCCCTAAGGATGAGTGATGCTGAGCATCTTTTCATGTACCTGTAAGTCATCTGAATGTCTTTACCGTTCTTCTGCTCATCTTTTAATCTTTTTTTTTGCTGTTGAGTTGTATGGGTTCTTTACATATTTTGGATATTAATCCCTTATCACATATATGATTTGCAGTTTTTGTTTTTTTTTACCACTCAGTAGGTTATTTTTTCATTTTATGAATGGTTTTCTTTGCTGTGCAGAAGCTTTTTAATTTGATGTAGTCCCATTTTGTTTATTTTTGCTTTTGCTGCCTTTGCTTCTGGTGTCAAATCCAAAAAATCATCTCTAAGATGAAAGCCAAAGAGCTTACTGCCTGTTTTCTCCTAGTTTTCTGGTTTCAGGTCTTAAAATCAAGTTTAACCCATTTTGAGTTGATTTTTATGTATGGCGGTCCAGCTTTATTCTTCTGCATGTGGCTGTCCAGTTTTCCCGATACCATTTATTGAAGAGACTGTCCTTTTACCAATGAGAATTCTTAGCTCCTTTGTTATAGATTAATTGACCTTATATTCGTGGGTTTATTTCTAGGGCTCTGTGTTTTGTTTCATTGATCTAAGTGTATGTGTTTATGCCAGTATCGTACTGTTCTGATTACTATAGCTGTGTAATATAGTTTGAAGCCAGAAAATGTGATACCTCCACTTTATTTTTTTTTCAAGATTGCTTTGGCTCTTTGGGGTGTTTTGTGGTTCTATACAGTTTTTAGGATTGTTTGTCCTATTTCTGTGAAAAATGCCATTGGTATTTTGATTGGGATTGCATTGAATCTGTAGGTTGTTTTTGGTAGTATGGACATTTTAACATGTTAATTCTTCCCACCCGTGAGCATGGAACATCTTTCCATTTATTGTGTCTTCAGTTTCTCTCATTAGTGCCATGTAGTTTTCAGTGTACAGGTCTTTCACTTCTTTGGCTAAATTTATTCCTAGGTATTGTATTCTTTTGATGCAGTTGTAAACAGGATCGTTGTCTTAATTTGGTCATTGACTTGAGTAATATACATTCCTATGTAGCCAGCACCCCACCCCAGTCAAGATAAGGAACATTTCCATCCCCCTCCTCCTACCCCCACCACCATTCATCTGATTTCCGTCACGGGGTTAGTTGTGCTTCTTTTTTTGACATTAGCAAAAGTACAGAATGTACTCTTCAGCTTATTTTGTTCAGCGTAACATCTGAGATTCATCCATATTATGTGAATATCAGGAAATGTTCCTTTTTATTGCTGAGCTGTATGACTGTACAATTTATTTTACGTATTTACCAGTTAACGACGTTTAAGTGTTTCCAGTTTGGGTCTTTTATGGGTAAAGCTGCTATGACATCCTTGTGCATGTTTTTTATGGACTTCTTCATGAATTGGTACAGCTGGAGGCCAGGCACAGGTGTGAGTGGGAATGGAGAGAGGTAGTCAGATCATGGAGGCCTGGGGGACCATGCTCTAGGGCTGGGCTTGATCCCAAAGATAATGGGAACCCCAGAGTGTGGTAAAGGGCAGCATGATGGGTCAGATTTGGGGACATTGTAGAAAGTGGATCAAAGGGGGCCCAGCATATAGTAGGGAGGAGATATGTGAGAGGCCACCACGGTGAGCAGCAGATGCCCAAAGGAAGGTAATGGCAAAGGGAAGAGAGAAGGTGTGTTAGTTTGCTAGGGCTGCCGTAACAAAGTACCACGATGGTGGCTTAAACCAGGAGTTCCCAAACCCCGGGCTGTGGACCAGTATAGGTCCAGGGCCTGTTAGGAATAGAGCTGCACAGCAGGAGGTGAACGGCAGGCCAGCAAGCGAAGCTTCATCTGTATTTGCAGCTGCTCCCCAACGCTAGCATCACCACCTCAGCTCCACCTCAGACATCAGGCATTAGATTTTCATAGGAGCACCTGGTGCCACAAAGGTTGGGGACCTCTGCCTTAAACAACTGACATTTATTTCCTCATACTTCCGAAGGCTAGAGTCTGAGATTAAGATGTTGGCAGGGTCGGCTCCTCTTGCGGCCTGCGACACAGGAAGGATGTGTTCCAGGCCCCTCTCCTTGGCGTGTGGATGGCTGTCTTCTCCCTGTGTCTTCACTCTCTCTTCTCTCTACACATTTCTATGTCTAGATTTCCTCTTTTATAAGGACACCAATCATATTGGATTAGGACCCACCCTAACCTTACTGTAACTCGATTACCTTTTGAAGAACCTGTCTCCATTCTGAAGTTCTGTGGGTTAGGCTCTTAACATAGGAATTTCCAAGGGGACACAATTCAGCCAGTAACAGAAGGTGAGGGATTAATTGAAGGTTGTGTGAGGGTAAAGTTGACAGGACACACTGAGCACTGAACTGTGTGGAACAAGGAACAAAGCGGGTGCCTCCCAGGTTCCTGGTGCTGGCGGCCGACAGGTGCAGTGCGGTCATCATGGAGTTTGGAAAGCGGGAGGAGGAAGTGTGAGCGGGGAGAGGGGAGTTTTGTTTTGACCTTATTGAGTCTGAGATCTTTTAATGCCCATCACAGGGAAATATCTAAAAATATATTCTGTAAAACCAAGTTTTTTGGGGGAGAGGGCAGTCATGTTTTTGCATAGTATAGTAAATGATTACGGTCTGTGTGTACTAAGCGATCAGTCATTTCTAGATCTAGGTCCACTCAGGTTTCAGCAGAGCCACACCTGTGCGGATTCTGTGAGCCGCCTCCCATGCCAGTGGAGCCGTGCCGCTGCCCGCCCTCCCCCGCCCCCTTCTCAGTTTGTTAAGAGGGATATTATAAGGCTAACAAATGAATAGGCAGCTGAAGAGGTACAGCTGATGAGGTCTAAAAGGGTCCTGTGCCTGTGGGACTGGGGTGCACCACCCTCCCAGCATGCGTATGTGCCCACTAACCCCGAAGGTCCACAGCCCCACTGTACTTATAGTGCCTGTGTGACCTGGCCCCGCACCCCGCTTTTTTGTTAGCAACCCACTCATTTGTAAACCTCATGTGAAGATTTCCTAGGTGGTGTGTGGCATCGTCAATGAAAAGAGGCCTCTTCAAAATTTACTCCACTCTCTTCGTGCTTAATGGATTTGGGTACATGACAGTAGATCTGTGTGACTCACGAGTTTCTGAGTGTCCAGACCTAGAGCAGGTCTACCTTGTTCTGGCTGCCTGTCTCTGAACTTGTTTACCTGACCAAAAGTCAAAAGGTAAACCTAATGAAAGACCAGAATTTTGTACTTCCTTGGAATGAATTCTAGAAATTGTATTAGGATGCAGAAAAATAATCCCAAATTTCAGCAATCTTATCCCACTAGATTATGAGGCCGGCAATTTATTTTTCTGATTTGACTTCTTACAGCTTGACTTATATACCCTGTAGTTTGAGTTATGTGCCAAGTGAATTTAATTTCAGGATCTGCACAGGCTACAACTGCTTATCAAATGCTTCAGCAGCACACCTGTGCCCGCCTCCTCCCGTGACCGTGGCGAGGGTTGGCCCCGGGCTCACCTGGCAGGTAGCTCAACCAAACACTCCGCTTTTGGGGATCTTTTGTTTTCGAGCTGGCTTTAATTTTTTTTTTCCTGTGTGCCAGTTTTGAAAAGTACAGAACTTTCCTTAATGTACAGCTCTTCTTCACAAGAAAAGATAACATTTTACTTTTAATTACAACTTATTTCTTGTATTGAGTGAGACGTCTGTGCTAGGCTTTGGGAGCATACAGGCGGCTAAGACATGGTGCCTGCCTTATGGAATTCACAGGCAATTGGGGATGCTAGAAGACCGAGATATGAAAAAGTAACATAAAATTGTTGTTATTATAGTTTAAGCACATCTATTAATAGTAAATGATATCACTTGTGATGATACTTTAAGGCCTAATGAGGTCATTAGCAACTTTTAATGTTCTTTCTGCCAGTGCCACACTCTTTGTGTGAGCTCTGTCCTTCCCTCCACTCTGCAGGGCTGGTTTCTTTTCAGAACTTGCATTCTCTGACAAATGGATCGAAAGGAGATTCCTTCCCCTCATTAGTATCCATCTCAACCTTTGTTTGTTTTAATTGCATTAATGACGGTCCATACGTAATTATTTATTCATCTGTTTACTTCTTTTTTAACTGTTCCCCTTCATAAGACGGAAGCTTCCGTGCGGGCCGTGACCACGGCTGCTTTTTCCCACAGTGTTCCCAGTTCCCGGCACAAGGAAGTGGTCAGTTGCCATGTGTCAAGTGAAAGCCCCTGGCCTGACCACTCTGTGGGGTCTGGCAGAGCGGCCCCTCATCTTCCATTGCCTCCCTGCGTGATGTTGCCCCCGCCCTTCCTGCTCTCCTGCCCTCTCGTCACACGTGCCTGCCTCTGTTTTAACATTTATCAAAGTATATTTCCTGCTTTCTTAGGTCTCCTGCAACCAGAAAGATTGCTCTTAGGCACAGACTTTTCTGGAATGGGTAAAAAAAAAAAAAATCACATTGACTCTTGTGTTGTTGGACTTTCACTTCCAAGGCTGTAGCTCCCAAATCTCTACTTTCGGGCTTCACTTGAGCTTCACCGCTGTATTATCACTCGCCGTCTGGCTATTGCTGCCTTGATCGTCCCAAAGACTCTCTCTCTGCCTCCGTTTCCTCATCGTTAAAATGGGGACAGTAAAAGTAGTATTTGTAGGGCTATTGTGAGAGTATAATAATAATGCTTGCAAAATGCTGAGGATGGTAAAGGTTGGCTATTATTACTCCCTCGGTTTGCCCTGCTGCCCCACTTGCCTTTCAGTGTGGTCCCGCCTGGAACACTTCCTGTGGAAATACAGTGTCATTTTTTTGGTAGCAGGTTCCATCTGTGCTGTCTTGACACAGTTGTGTGTAGAGATTTGTTACCAATAGGTCATAATACCCTATAGTTTGTAAGTACTTTACCTTTTTTATAAATTAGAGCAGATTTAAGATTATGTCTTTAAACACATCACTCCCTCACTCTTGCTCTAGTGTGTTGCTGGGTGGAGGGGGAAGGGATGTGGCCTAATAGTGTCCCAGGAATGTCACATAACAATTAGCTTGTCTTACCTGTGCCTCAACCTCCGGCGTACGCTGTTATTGAGATGTTATGAATACTCAGAAAGGTTACACATCACTGGAATTCTCCTCACAGAATTCATTTTGATTTAATCAGAACCTGGGTCCAGCCTGTAGTTCTAGAATACGGCCTGTCACAGTGGACTGATTTTGTGGTAGCTCTCTGTGCTATCAGATTCTGTGCTGTGTTTTGTTAAGCTTAGATTCCTTTTCTTTCCCCTCGACCGCTCTTGTGTATATTGTCCAACTCTTTATGGAAGAATAAATGTTGACTCTAGCCTATTTGAACAGTATACAACTTTAAAGGGTTTTACGGAACAAAATATTATAGTAACAGCTAACATTTGTATAACCCTTTATAGGTTTAAACCACACATTAATTTCTTTATTACTTGGTACAGCCTCGTGAAAACTAGAATAGAGAAACTTTTGTTATTATTTTATAAGATAAGAAAAACCTAAGCTCGGAAAGGTTAAGTAGGATCTTGTTCCAGTTTTACTGCTCATAGGTGCTAAAATTAGGATTTCATTATTTCACTTATTCATTTAGCACACAACAAATGCCTGCCGTGTCTTAGGGACTGTGAAGGTTGTGGTGATGCAGGATTGAACTTGAGTCTTATAACACCAGATTTTGTGCTCTTTCTTCAGTAGAGGATGTGTGCAGTGTTACAGGCTATATAATATTTTAGCCCAAGTGTTACCTCAAAGGCCTAACTTAATAATCATGGTGCTAATCGAACCCACTGCACACTCCCCACACAGCTCATCACTCTCACTCCCACGTGGGCATGTCTGTGCCCTCTTATGAAAATTATTTTCTCTGCCTTCTACTTTCAGAATTATCAGGAAAGTTTAAATGATCTCAATAAAGTTCTCCTACTAGACTCAGGTATTGTTGAGGCGAAGATGGAGCTGGAGGAGGTAACCAGATTCCTAAGTATCAAGGATAATACAACATCATTCAGCAAGGAAAAGGAGAGAAGGAAAATCGAGATTCAAGAGGTATTTGGAGTTCGTTACCTTCGCAAGTACTCTTTTGGAGATCTTCTATTGATTCAAAAGTCATTCCTGTGGGTTCTACAAAAAAAATTTGTGTTTTTATTCTGATGATCAATGAAGAAATTTTAACCAGTTATAAAAACAGACTTTTCCTTTGCCATGATAATTAGCCATTATGTTTTCCCAGCCAGGGCCCCTGGATGGCATTGGAAGTCTGTGGAACTGAGGTTCTTCTTTCTCTCCCACCCCACCCCGCCCACCTGGCCTGTGCCCTGTATTGCTTCCTCCCAGATTGTTCTGGGAGCATATGGCCATTGAGCTTTGCAGGGTAGACCTGGAGAATTGTAATAGGACTGATTTTGTTTCAATGGACCAGCGAGCCACACCCCATAGAGATTTTCCACTTTGATTCAGACCTTTGTAGCACTCTGAAACAAGACTAGCCTCTTGAACTACAGAGATCTTGAACTACCCCAAGATCAAACCTACGTTTGTGATTTCAGATAACACAACATCTAGTGCTATAGCTCTTGCTATGCCTTTAGTGAAGAATGTCAGCTCATGAGTTCCTGTGTATTCATGAACACTAATACCCCGTTTATCGTGTTACATTTTCACTAAGAGTAAGAAGTTAAAATGTGAGAGAGGCTAGGAAGTTTTTTCCCTCTACAGAAGGAAGAAAAACTATTATATTATAAAAAATGTAAGTTTACTTCTCTGTTAAACGTTAAGTAAATAAGTAAAAGTTAGGAAAAAGAGATAAAGCTGTTATAGGTCTTTTTTAATACAGCAGTTTTATTCATGAAAAATTATCAATAAAATCTTATTGTCATATTTTCAATGTTAAAAATGCTCTTTAAAAAGAATACTTTTAATGGATACTCATACCTTAAAATTTCCTAAGAAAGTAGAATTTATGATTTATTATAAATTATATACTTTTCACTTAGAACATGACTAAAATACATGACTAAAGTGTACTTGTGTTTTTCAGTTCCTTCTGATTTTAATAAATGTAACTTGGGATGTGTACAGTGGCTGTTTGTGTCACATTGTAATTTTTTTCCCCATGAAGGTGAATGAAGGCTGTGAAGAGCCTGAAAGGGCCTCAGAGGAGGTCTCCACTGGCTGCCTTGCTTCTGAGAAGGGGGACACAAGCAATGGGCCAGAATACTCTGAAAAACTACCAATCGCCAAGCCTAACAATGCCTATGAATTTGGTCAGGTTATAAATGCTCTAAGTGCTAGGAAGGATAAAAGAGCCTGTTCACACCTTTTGGCTATCACTGAACCAAAAGATTTGCCGATGTTGTTGAGTAACAAACTTGAAGGAGATGTATTCCTCCTGCTCATTCAGGCTCTGAAAATTAATCTTATCGATAAAGATCCCTCACTGGTATATCAGCATCTTTTATATCTGAGTAAAGCAGAAAGATTTAAGGTAAGTGGCAAAATATCTCATTAATAGAGATTGTTTTGTTTTTAGGGTCTGTAACTTTCAAATGTTAATATCTTATGCAAATCTAATTTTTCTCCTTTCAGACGATGTTGACACTAATTAGCAAGGACCAAAAGGAGCAAATTGAACAACTTTTTGATGACCTCTTGGACACACCAAACAAACATTTTACTTTAGAAGATGCACAGGCCTTGAAAAGGCAGTATGAGCTCTAAATCAAGATGATTGGTGGATTTCCTTTATGCATGCATGTGTTCCAGTAATGCTAATGAGATGACATTGTAATGCAGTTGCATGGATAAAACCTGGCTTAGAAAAGATCCCTTGGTCTGGGCTATAAAATATTTTACTTATTTTATACATAGAACATGTATATTCTACAATCTGCTTTTTATTAGTTGTAAATATTTTCTTATGTACCAGAGCTAACATCTTTATATTTAATAAGTATATTTGGAACTGGTTAAGTACATTTTAATTTATATCATACATTTTCTCTTAATGACTTGTTAAAAAATTGAGTTAAATTACATTTCTTTGGGCTATGAAGGAGTCTGCTTAAGTTTGACAGAATGTATTTCTTTAAAATTCATTTTTAAAAGTGAAAATCATTACCAGTGATTATTACATCACCTTTATTTCCTGCTAAGATATATATATATATCCCATTTTATACTACTTGCGTATTATAATCTGCTAAGATGAATTGCAATATTAAGTCTATAATATGAAATGATTATTAAATAAATTGTGGTTATTAGAATTGTAAGAGGAACTTATTTTCTAATATGTAAGCATTCCCTCTTAAGAACAAAAATTGGCAAAAATTTCTACCACTTTTTACTAGATTTTAAAAGCTAGTTACCCTTATAAATTACTTATGTAAGCAATAACAAAACAACCAATATATAAAGGCAAATTAAGCCTACTTTTCTATTTGAATTGTCGCCCCCATATTGTTCTCAACTATTTAAATATCTTCTTTCCCCTCTTTTAACCATGACCACATTTATTCCCCTAATTTAAAGAGATTATGAAGAACTCAGCATATCGAAAGTTCCTTTGTTAACTGAGTCAAAGTAAAGGTCTCAGTGTACTGTCAAATTTGTTCCTGTAGTCTGTAGTCAAGTCTTTTTCTGGAGCATTTTCTTGCTCTTTAGAAGTGAAGATGAAAGACGAATATCACTTTTAATATTTCTATATTTTTTATTTAATTTCATATAGTTATAGAATATTAAAAAATTGTGGGTAAGCGGTACATTTTAAACTGCTATTTTTCTTTCAGACTATTCTTTGTTCATAAAGGAAAATCTACTGTAATGGGTATTTAATTCTAATCTTCAAGCAAACAAAATAGTTTTCTCCTTTAATGCTATTAAATCTTTGTAAAAGTAGATCATGGCGTGTGTTAGTAACTTTACGGTAGAGACAGACATAGAAAGGAAACATCCTGTTTTGTTGACAGTGACATGCCCAGCACCCAGCTGCGTATGTTAAGCCATCCCCACTGGCAGCCTCGCCTACAGGAGGTAGAAAACAGTGAGTGAATGCCTGGCCGTCGCAGTGGTGTGGGTCGCAGCTGGACATATCCATTTCTCCCAAGAGTACGGAGGCAGCACCTTCGTTACTAGGGAGGGAAGAGAAAGTGCAGGAAGCAGATAAGAATGTCCACGTGCATTAAAGGAGTGCGGGTCCTGCTGACTGCCTCAGAGCTCCGTCAGGAAGTCTGCCCACAAGCCTCTAGGGTATCCTGCTCAGTCTCCCCACCGAGTCTGCAAGTCCCCCCAGCGCCCCAGTGGCCAGGTCTTTGTGTAAGATCCGGAGTGCAGGAGTGAAAGCAGATGGAGCAACCGGAGTGTTCTCAGAAAACATCTGTGGCAAGAGAGAAACCACAAACTGGAGCTATAGCACTGCTGCTGGAAAACAAAAGAGGTTTTCAGCAGCCAGTCTGGTGAGTTATAAGAAGAAAAGATGTAAAAGGTTAAGAATTCTGCCACAAGAGGGAGTGATAACAGTGGAACAGGTCTTCCTATTCAAAAGCTGAGGAAACCCATTCTGGCAAAGCAGTGATCAATACTCCATCTGAAGGTAACCAATAAAGATGTAAGGTGTCTGCTGCTTAAAATATGAAAACAGCAGTGCAAAAATATAAGGGACATGAAAAATCAAGAAAATATGTTACTCCCCAAAGAGATCAATAATTCTCCAACAACCTAGCTCAAAGCCACAATACTGTGATCTAGCAGATAAAGACTTTAGAATGCAGTAGTCTCCCCTGCTTTATCCACAGTTTTGCTTTTTGCAGCTTCAGTTACCTGTGATAAACTACAGTCCAAAATTATTAAATGGAAAATTCCAGGAATAAACAATTTATAAGTTTTAAATTGCACATAGTTCTGAGTAGCATGATGAAATCTTGTGCTATCCCTGACTGTCCTGCCCAGGACGTGAATCACCTCTGTTCAGCATATCCATGCTGTACACGCTACCCGCTGGCTAGTCGGTAGCTATCTATTATCAGGTTGACTGTATCAGTATCATAGTGCTTATGTTCAAGTAACTTTTATTTTACTTAATAACCCCAAAGCCATTCATATAACTTTTACTATAGCATATTGCTATAATTGTTCTATTTCTTACTATGCCTGATTTACAAATTAAACTTTATCATAGGTATGTAGTATAGGAAAAAAACATAGTATGTGTAGGGTTTGGTACTATCCGCAGCTTCTGGCATCTACTGGGGATCTTAGAATTTATCCCCCATGGATAAGGAGGGACTACTCTAGTTACTTTGAAGGGAGACTGAATAAGCGACAATAAAACTCAAGATAGTTCAATGATATTAGGAAGGAAAAATACATGAACAAAAGGAACTCTTTAGTAAAGAGATAGGAAAAAAATAAATATTGGAACTGAAGAAACCAATGAACGAGATAATACAATAGAGAACATCTGTAGCAACAGAACAGATGGACAACAGAATAAAAGACTTAAGGATAGGAACTTTGAAATAACAGAAGAGAAGGAAAATACAAATGAAAAAGAGTGAAGAAATTCTATATGATCCATGGGACTCAATCAGAAGAGCAAATACTAGAATAATTGGGCATCCAGAGGAGAAGAGAGGGAGAAAGAAAAAATTTATTCAAAGGAATAATAGCTGACAACTTTCCAAACTTAGGTAAAAAGACTTGGACATCCAAATTCACGAAGCCGATTGATGACCTTAGTACCCCAATGTGAAAGTGCCTTTTCCAGGACACATTATAATGAAACTACCAAAAATTCAAAGGTAAAGTATTCTCAATGCAGCTAGGGAAAAAACAGTAACCTACAAAGGAACCCATATTTGACTATCAGCAGATTTCTCAGCCAAAACCCTACAGGCCAGGAAAGAGAGAAATTACATATTCCAAGTGTTAAGATAAAAACTACCAACGAAGAATACTCTATCTAGCAAAGTTACCCTTCAGATATTAAGAAGACATAAAGACGTTTCCAGACAAAAGCTGAGGAAATTTATCACTACTAGACCTGCCTTGCAAGACATGCTGAAAGAAGTTCTTCAAGATGAAATGAGAAGATGCTCATGGAAACAGTGTTAGACTGGCAAGGTGAGAAACTATACTCAAATTTAGGAAATTCTAATTCCATAACAGGATGGTGTATTAGCCACTTTATTATAAAAGTTAAAGAACAAGTGTTAAAAATAACTGTAGCCACTATGATTTTTTAAATACACAACATAAAAAGAGGTAAATTGTGACATCAAAAATATAAAAGGGAGTAAAAGGGTAGAGCCTTTATAAGTGAAAGAAGATAAGTTTCCATCAGCATAAAATAGACTATGAGATATTTTATGTAAGCCTCGTAATCATAAAGCACATATTTAGAGTAGATTCATGAAAGATCTTTTTAAAGTGGGGGTGGGGGGTAAGCGGGGCGCACAGAATACCGCTGTGGAAAATCGCCAATTTACAAAGGTAAAACAGAAGAGAGGGAAAAAAACAATGGAAATACAAAACAACCAGAAAGCAATAAGATGGCAATAGTAAGTTTTTACATATCAGTCAGTACTCTAAATGTGAATGGATTGAATTCTCTAAAATGGGTCCCTAAACCCCGGACCGTGGACTGGTACCAGGCCATGGCCTGTTAGGAACTGGGCTGTCCAGCAGGAGGTGAGTGGTGGGTGAGTGAGTGAAAGCTTCATCTGTATTTGCAGCCACTCCCCAACGTTAGCATCACCACCTCAGCTCCACCTCACATCATCAGGCATTAAATTCTCATATGAGCACAGGTTCCTGGTGCCAAAAAGGTTGGAGACCGCTGCTCTAAAAGTCACAGAATGACTGGATTAATTTTTTTTTTTTTTAAAGGACCCAACTATATGCAGTTTAAAAGACACCAGCTTTAAGAACACATGTAGGCTCAAAATGAAAGGCTGGAAAAAGACATACAAGTGGAAACCAAAAGAGAGGATAACCATACTCATATCAGACAAAATAGGCTTAAGCCAAAAATGGTAACAAGAGACCAAGGTCATGATAATAAATGAGGGTCAATACATCAAGAAAATATAATTGTATATGCACTAACATCAGAGCATCTAAATATATTAAGCAAATACAGATCTGAAGGGAGAAATAGGTAATACAATAATAGTGGGGGACTTTAATATCCCAATTTCAGCAGTGGATAGATCATCCAGACAAAAAAAAAAATGTGTGAATCAAACCATGCTTTAGAAAAAATGGACCTAACAAACATATATAGAACATTACATCCAACAGCAACAGAATATATATTTTTCTCAAGTGAACAAGGAACATTCTCCAGGATAGGTTATATGACAGGACATAAAACCAGTCTTAGCAAATTTGGCTTAAATCATACCAACTATCTTTTCTTACCACATGGTATTAAACTACAAATTGGCAACAGGAAAGCTGGAAAATCTACAAATATGTGGAAACAACACACTTCTGAACAATGAACAAATCAAAGAAATAAAAAGGGAAATAACATGTATCAAAACAAATGGAAACAGAAACAAAATACCAAACCTGAAAAGCAGTTCTGAGAGCGTGGTTTATAGCAACAAACGCATATATTAAGAAATTGAAAGCTTTCCAATAAACGACCTAAATTTTCACCTCAAGAAACTACAAAAAGAATAAAGTTAGCAGAAGAAAGGAAATAATAAAGACCAGAGCAGAAGTAAGTGAAATGGAGACCAGAAAAACAAAAGATCAACATAAGTCCTGGTTTTTCAAAAAGATAAAATTGACAGATCTTTAGCTAGACCAAGAAAAAAGACTCAATCAGAAATGAAAGATGAGACATTACAAATGACTACAGAAATACATAGGATCATAAGAGATCACTATGAACGATTATTATATGCCAAAGGATTAGATAACCTTGAAGAAATGCATACATTTTTAGAAATACAGAACCTACCCAGACTCAATCAGGAAGAAATACAAAACGGACCAATAAGTAAAGCCAGATAAGGACACTATAAGAAACTATACAGCATGTCTTTGATGAAATAGATGCAAAATTTCTCAAAATAATAGCAAACCAAACTTAAAAACCCATTACAAGGATTATACAGCATGACTAAGTAGGATTTATCCCTGGGATACAAGGATGGTTCAGCATAAATCAATAAATGTCATGCATCCCATTAATAGAATGAATGATAAAAATCACCGGATAATCTCAATAGATGCAGCAAAATCATTTGACAAAATACATCTTTTCATGATAAAAATCCTCAACAGATTGGGTATAGAAGGAATATACCTCAACTTAATAAAGGCCATATATGACAAAGCCACAACTAACATATTCAACAGTGAAAAATTGAAAGATTTTCCTCTAAGATCAGGAAAAAGACAAGGATGCCCACTTTTGTCATTCTTGTTCAATACTAGTACTGGAAGTCCTAGGTAGAGCAATTAGTTAAAAGGTATACAAATTGGAAAGGAAGAAGTAAGAATTTCTGTTATTTGCCGATAATAACAATTTTGTATGCAGGCATAACCTGTTTAATTGTGCCTAGCTTTATTGCACTTCACATGTGTTATGTTGTTTACAAATTGAAGGCAAGACCTTCTACCAGCAAAAAGATTATGACCCACTCTACTCCGATACTTGCTCTATTATCTTGGTCTGGAACAGAACCTGCAATATCTCAGGTACAGCTGTACAGAAAACCCCAAAGTCTCAACCATAAAGCTGTTGGAACTAATCAATGAATTCAGTAAAGTTGCAGGATATAAAAACATACAGAAATCAGTTGCATTGCTATCCACTAACAATGAAACATCTGAAAAAAAATAAACTATTTCATTCATACTAGCATCAAAAACAAAATACCCAT